GGGGGGAGAGTAGGCAGATCTGGGCCGAATTCTCTTGCATATTGCGCTCGGAAAGCAACACACTGATGTGAAGTGCAGCCAGATCAGGAGCTCTTTGAAAACAGTATTACCTAATCCAGCCTTAGTGCATACAATGTGCACAAAGTGCTTTTTGGGTAGGAGAAGGTTCTGGCCTTGCCCGTCTTTAAATTTTAAAAGCGAAAGATAAGCTAAGTAAAGTAGCTAGGTTTTATTTAATAACAGTGTTGAAAGTACGAAAAAAAAGCATCCTTCCCAGTTTATCATCACAGAATGTAACAGCAGCCCGAGCTTACAGTACTGCAGTCTTTCTTAAATCTTACTTTCTACAGTTAAATATAAAATATTTTTCCAGAAGTATTTTGTAACTTGACAGATAAATGAATAAACGTGCACAAACTTACTTCTATTGCCTGGGGGGGGAGAAAGAAAAATCTTTAATAGTGAAAACAAAATTTACAGTAAAATTTTAATGGCATTGGTAATATTGGATGTGTATTTTTAGCATGCATTGGTTCTGATCTATGGGCTGTGGGGATCGGTCCCAACTTATTCCAGTGGAGTGACAAAAAGGCTCCAGCTAAGATGGACAAACGCCACGGTGCGCGGTGGGATCTCACGTCCCACCGTCGGTTTCCTTGCTGTGGGCACGAAGCAACAAGGGGAATGGGACGGGGCAGCTCTGGAGTCCTCCTTTGCCACCACCCCCGAGAAGAGAGGACAAAACCAGGGTGCACAAGACGACGTGGGAGCTCAGAAACATGGCTGACAGCTTCCAGCTTCGATGTCCCCCTCTAATGACATGCTCCTGAAGCTACCCAGCACGAAGCTGAAGGATGCTTGCCTTGAGGGATCACTTCCTGAGAGGGGCTGGAAAGGTACGGATGCAACGCAGTGCTTCACGCAGTAGGCAGTGAGAAGAGGCTTTCAGCGATGCAGTACTGAAGCGTGAGAGGAGCTGAGTCATCGAGCCAGAAAAGAAAAGAGCCTGCCCTGTCAGCTGCTAGCGGCACACAGGAGCCCCTTACCCCTAACAGAAGAAAGGGGGGTGGCAGGGGGAGTAACTATGAAACATCTAATGCCAGGAATAAAAGCCACTTGAGAGTAAAACTGGGAGTGCGAGAGCGCCCAGCTATTTGTACTTAAATCCAACCTGTTCAAGCTGAAGCTCTTCTTCCATAACCCCACCCCCAATCTTTTTTTTTTATCCCACACTTTCATGCAGCGGCTACTTAACGTTCCAGCTGTGAGCAGTCCTTTGAGCAGGGACTGAATCACCCTGCAGCTGCGTGCCCAAGCTCCTGCCCTACAGGTGCAGTCAGTCTTTACACCACTAGTGGCATCTCTCCCACCTTCAGGGCACCTCTGCTCCTGCCTCCGGACCATGCCAGAAAGTGCCCAATGTTGGACCTGGACTGATGGGTCACTCGAGCCCCTGGCTGCGGCCGGAGGGGTGACACAGTCCCGCAGCGCCCCATGCCCGCAGGGGTGCAGCCCAGGTGTTTCGCTACCCGCCACCGAAAATGGAAAGTTACGACTGCTAGGGACTGTGCAGCTCACCTTCGCCTCCCAGGAACAAGCAAAGGGCTCTCTCCCTGAGCAAGGAGACCACAATTAGCAGAGCAGAAGCCAGACAAACTTTGTACCCCAACCACTAGTTTTCACATCTACTTGTAGGAGCAGCAGCAGAGGGGGATTAATGCCACTTTTGATCTGTCTAGTTTGACAAACTCTTGTCCTTCGCACAGGAGCAGGGAGAAGGAAGCAGCCGTGAGGCAGCGAGCAGGGAGGGTGCTGGCCTGCAGGAGCTGGTTGGGGCGAGCACGCGGTATGTGCTCTGAGCTGGACACAGCTCATTATTCCAGCCAGTGCCCCTGACCAGCCCCGTTTTCCGCTTGCAGGCATGCCTGGCTGCCCCCAGAGCCCTGTATGTGCTTCTGCCCCCACAGCTGCACACTGCTTAGGGCAGCAGTGCCCGTCAGACTGGAAAGACCAGGTCTCAGGTGGGTCTACTTCAATTCATTAATGCCCTTGTTTCTGAGGCACACCATGTGTCTGTTTACCTTTGCCTTCTTTCCATAAATGAGTTTTCAGGGACTTGAAGTTGGCCATGTCATCCTCTGCTGGCTCCCCGGGGAAGCCTGACAGCCAAGTTGTGCCTCTGCCAATTAGCTCAGCCCTGCACAAACTGCAAAGTCATCACGTATTTTAACTGGGAGCACACCCTCTGCTTTGCAAAGCTTAACACATACACACACACGGCTGGATCCTCAGCAAAGCAGGGGAGCTATATAAAACCTTATTTGCTTAATTAGGTTTGCACTAAAATGTGACTCTCCAGTTGGAACGGTTCTTCGGTCCAAACAGTAATGCAGCAGCGAGTTGCAGCTGTGTCCGACCTGGAGGTAACACGAGTTTCCCTTCCATTGGCCTTGTGTTTCAAAATCCCACCCTTCACCACCAGCTACCTAAACTCTTCAAATTACCACAAAAATACTTTCCAAGTGCCTGCACTCCATGAGATAATTGATCATGATGATCATAAACGTACCAAAACCTAGGTCATACTACGAATTTCAAATTAAAGATACCAATGATACTCCCATTACAAAAAACTGTTGAGGGGTGTCCAGATATGTTTGGCCATAGGCTCGATTGCTTTAGACTTTAACGCAGCTGCATGTGAAACCAGCTACATCACCCTTCTTGTTTCTGAAAACAAGAACACATTGTCAGTAAAAAAGATAAATAAATTAAGAGTCTGAGGGAAAATCATCTTGCACCTCTCACAATCTAGGATTCAACAAGAAAAGCAAAAATAACTGCTACTACTGACTTTTTGTATGATACCACATCGAACAAGAAGCCATCACACGGGCTCTTGTGTGCTCACACTCTGCACTGTCACATCTGTCTGCTTAAACTAGACAAAGGATTTTACTTTCTTTTACTGGGAAACAAGCTAAGTGATCTCCCATGATACATATGAAAAGGAAAAAAAGCCAAAACCATAATGAAGGCAAAACCCTACGAAACAGGCACCATGCCAATAAAATGACTTCCACATCCAAGTGCTAACTGTACCTGAACCGTACCTTTACACTAGCCCCTCAACAGGCCCACAGTTTTCATGGTGGTTAACCATGCCTCTCTCAGGGCATCCAGTCCAAGGGCCCCTGGGTCCAGGGGAGTCCAACTCTCCCGGTCTCTGCAAAAACATGGTATCATCTCCTGAGGCCTCCTACACCTTCGCTCTCTTGAGCCAGTGTCCAGACGTTGTTACAGCAGCAGTGACTCTGTAGAGGGTCAGCAGGTGGGGTGGCACTGCCATTGGGAGCTTAGCCTCCCCAGACCATGGGTGCTGGCGACTGGCAAGTGAGGCAGGGGTTTACTTCCCTCCTTTCATCAAGGTATTTCAGATATCTGTATAAAACTGGAACCAAAAACCTCATTCTCAAAAGCACCACGTACTATTGTTAAAAAAAAAAAAGTTTTCAAACCCTGTAAAAGCAGCATAGGTATGTTTTGAAGGAGTGGAGGGGGGTCTCAGAAATATGCTTATCAGGCTTATTAGCACAGAAAATACTTAATTTTTACAGGCCATATCTGCTCTTTTCCCCTCTACCTGGCAAGACAAAATCGCTCTGATCTCTCTGCTCGCACGGCGGCAGTGCCAGCACACTGCTGAGGGAGCCTGGGACCACAGGAGAGGCTAAAGCTGCAGCCACTTTCCCAAGCTGTCAGCCAGATGCGTGCTGGCTGGTGGCAAAACCAGCAGTGCCGGCACAAGGAAAACCACAGCCGATGCCTGGGGTAAAGCAGGGTTTTCCCCTCCAGAGGCAGCCTACCTCCGTTTTCAGTTTAAATGGCCATGGAGCCATTTCCCTGCAGGACACACCTATTCTTGCAGCAGCTCGGAGCAGCCACAGAAACTGGTTTCCAGTGGGCAGATTCAAGGCACAGGCACTAACCTGGGAGGCGTCTGAAGGGAGACTTCCAGGCAGCCCATCCCTAACTACATGTGACAAGTGCGACTTCAAATTAAAAAAAAAAGAAAAAAAGGAAAAGAAAAAAAAAAAAAAAGAGAAACATCAAAGCTTTCCATAAACTCATGCTGGGCTGGAAGGGTGGCAATTATGCCATTCTTAACTCTGAGGCTATTTGCAAGGGAAAGGATTGGGAGACTTGGAAAGGGTGCTGGAGTGGAAGAGATTTATCTTGCTCCATTCAGAGGAAAGGATTACAGGCATAAAATTATCTGTCACCTTGAAGAAGCTGGAGTCTTGAGATTTTGCCTCCAAAGCCTTCGGGATGCAGGGAAGGAAGCTATTTTGTTCAGATTAAAGACAGATGCAGCCTCCTGAGAGAGGCTATCTTCTCAAATTAGTGGATATTGTAAGACATTTGTCTCTACTGGCATTAGCCCTGCACTGACTAGGTGCAAATGACATGAGAATCAGGATAAACGTGTATTAGAAATATCACCTGGTTATTTCAAGTTATTGCTATTCCTCTAATTTACATTTCCCTGGATGTTTCACACTGTGCATTAGTGATTCACAATGATGTACATTTACACACAGCAGGAGAAAAAAATTAATGAATTCCACCACTTCCCTTATTTGGGAGACTTTATGCCTGAGATACAGCTCCCTCGTTTTATTATGCCTTTTGATCTCCACAGAGTAATCTATTTTCCCCTTGGCAGAACTGTATAATTCTTGCTAATGTAATATGAATTACATTTATGCACTTTGGGCAGAATAAGCCTCATTATTTGTTATTTCTCGCACACTCTCTTAAAACCAGGCCAAATTCCACCTACCTGTCCCCCGCAGGTAGGCATGCACGTAGCATGATGAGCAGTGTAAAATGCTGAGGTAGTGCACAGCACACATACATGCAGCAACTAAATCAGAGGTTCATGACACGAAAATGGGGAGAAAGAGCTTCTGAGCCTTCCCTCCCGCATGAGGCATCTCTTACTGCATCGCACAGCCTGTGCTAGGCAGGAAATCATGTAAATAAATAATTATGGCTTTTGTTAGGTACGTCATGGTGCCATAGGCCCCACTTGGAGCACTGTCGTAAAAAAAGTGGCAAATTCCTGTGGCTACGTCCTTCTCCAAGATACTACCAGTAGCTCCAAACGATTTCTGAAAAGACACAAGCAAAGAAGTAAAGAAAGCTAGGCGCGCATGCTTATTTACCGGAAAAACCCCACCACGCTATGATTTTGCATTTGTGCTGAATACTGAAAGCAATTCTCCTTTCCCTCATGAAAACCTTAATCAGGATTATTATAGGACCCACATGACTTAGTTGGATCAGTGTAAGTAAATGAGGAACATATAACTTCACAGATTTTTGTCCTTTGGGGGGGCGGGTGGGATTACTCAAATATTGGTAATTCTAATGCCTTGGTAAAGCAAAACTTCACTTCAATCTACCCACTTACTTCAGAGCTTGTTAGCCGCTACAATTTTATTCCCTTTGAATCTCCCACAATTCTTAAATTAGTTTTCCAAATATATTTCCAGAAGATACTTAAGTGATTTGGTCTGTCTTTGTAGGGGAAAGAATAAGGATAAGATCAAGCTCATCACACATACTAAAAAAGGAGCAGGGGACAATTTTCAAATGCAGAGGCTTCCCACCACTGCCCTTTGAACTCACCAACTCCTGCAGAAAAAGGTCATTGGCCAAGTGCACGATTTGATCCACGTGGATGATGCCCCCGATGCTGTTCACCTCGATGTCAGAGAGGAACGTGAGAACAAGAATAGCTTCCACCAAGAGCTGCCTGTACTCAGGCTGGGGTACGTGGTTCAGCACCGACTCCACGTGCACAGCAAACTTAATTTCGCACGGGGTCATCTGGCAAGTTTGAGTGGAAACAGAAAGAAAAACTGACAAATCCAAAAGACTAGTTCCCCACATCCTGCAACCACTTCAACATATGCTCCTCTCTGCACATGGGGGTAGACTGACTGAAGCGAACAAAATGTTTGTGCAGCTTTAGCACTTACAGAAACTTTTTGTGTTGCTAGGCCCTGATCCTGCAAACAGTTATGCAACTTCCAGAAGACTGCTCCAGCCCTGCAACCCATCACACACACATTTTAGTTACATACAGGACTGCTGATGCTTAGCTGGCAAATTAACTCTTTGCTCCTCATGCTGCAGTCTCACGCACTCTGCCTTGTAAGTATCTTTCTGGCATCGCAGGTTAGTTGCAAAGCCAGAATTATTGTTGAGTTTTAAAAATAACCACCTGCTTAAGAGCAAATGCTTTTCCACACAGAGATGTAGCTATATTGTTTGTAGAGCAGTCTAATTTGCACTGGCATAGCTGTATGGATGTTATGTGGAAGGCTGCTGCCTTAGGAGGTTTGTTCTTTTTTAGTTTGATTTCTTTAAACAGCAAAATTAGATACTGTCTAGGTCTGACAGGCAAAAAATATAAGCCTATTTATCTACACAATAGGAATAAATAAAGCTCTCCATTCTGCAAAAAAAGGTTTAAATTTGGCAGAAAATTCCAGCTCCTCTCTTCAGCTGTTACCACCATCCCTCAGAAGAAAAGGAAGCCAGAGACAAATCTGAGGGAACCAGACAGGACAACAGTCTCAGGCCCACAAGCACCTCTCTTGCGCTGATGGATTACTGTTCACAAGAGTTTGTTTTATAGATGTGTATTCAAATCTTGTCAGAGTGCCTAAAGACAAGAATGGCAATCCAACTAAGGAAAAAAAATGTAAGGAAAGGTTATGGATTTAAAGAGTCAAAGCTTTGGTTAGAAACAACCATCCTTAATTGGTATTTACTTTTGAGACTGTGATGCCAAAGTACACTGGCTACTGTTGCAGCATATGAAAAAAAAAGCTGCAAGCAACATGTCTGCCTCATTCCCGCAAAGCCGTGCTCTCTCCTCACCCTGCCCGAAGGACTGCCATCAGCCACCCTCTTTCAAGCACTGCTCCGTGGGCGCACGGGGTCAGTGAAAGTGTGCAGAGGGGCAGGCTCGGCAAAGGGGAAACCTGCCAGAAACCTGCCCCCAGGCCTGCCTGGCAGGAACGCATCTGCACAGCCCCAGGGAAGCTGGCAGAAGTGCTGAGGGAAGGTCCAGATCTTCTAACCTTCTTAAAACCAAGGATTTGCAACAGCAGCCCCACTGCAAACGAAACATTCAGTCATGGGGCTAGAAAATCGTTGGCATTTTACTGTACCTCTCTGGTGGTTGAAGAAGGAAGGACATACCCATCAATGGACAGACCATGGCACTGAAACAACAACATTTTGACAATGAACAGAAATTACAGTTCTTACAAGTAAATCTGAGTGTTCTCTGATACCAGCCAATGTAACAACCCTCAGTTAAAAAGACCAAACACAAAACCCCACAAAAAACCCCAAACAACAACAACAACAAAACCTGTTAAAAATATTATTTCACTTTTGCTGAAGAAGTAACTATGTAACCTGGCAAATGTTAGAAATAGCCTGACATGACAAGCAGAGCGCGTGCGGTGTTCCAGTCCAGCTACTGAAGGGGAGGAAAATACTTAGAGAGCCACTACAGCAAGAGACACACAAAGGAGGAAAACAAATCAATGAGAATATTCTGTGGGAAAGGATGTAGAAATAAAAGACAATGCAAAAGCACAACAGACCACGAAAGTGAGAACCTTTATTTTTTATTTAAGCTAAAAAAAAAAAATTTAGTCACGTGGTTCAGATCTAGGGCACCACAACTCAAGGATTCCTTGTCAACATGTTGCGGTGCTTGGACATGGGCCACCAACAGTGGGGGAGAGGTGGTGTTAGAAATACCAAGTGGTGTACAAGAAAAGAGTGACAAAACCTAAATGGTGAGAAGGCAGGCTAAGGAATGACATTTCTGGGAACCTGAGGTACAAAAACGCACCAAGAAGAAGAGAGAGCTTTTATGAATAGTCCAAAGAGAGTTTAAGAATGAAATATTGAAGACAACTTAAATAAGCACAATTGATTTTAAGAGCCAGAAAACCATTCCAATACTCCCAGCTATTACGTTAGGTCAGGACAGAAGTGATGCTCACTCTGCTGAAAGATCCCATTAGTAAATAGCCACAAGGTCATATATGACTCGTCTTGGCTGACATCAACACTAACAGCTTCAGCATAAGTGATTTTAGAAGGACAACCAAAATCAAGCTGAGCTGGTGATGCACATTTTTCCCAACTGTGTAGGCATAAACAGCTCAGTGCTGCAAGGTGCCAAATGCTGGCTTTCATCCAGCAAAGCAGAAGAACAGGTGCATAATCACTTTGAAATGAGTAAAAATTCATAATTCCCCTCTCTTCCTTCCTGGAGAGCTGCTTCAACACATTTCCATACCCCTGATCTCCAAGGTGCTGGCAAGGATTACTTTTCACTTAAAAACAAACAAAAAAATGTTAAGAATGCCATACAGCCCAGAAGAGCCAGCAAGAGATCTCAAGACATTTTGGAAGAGTCAGCGCAGTTTCCTACTTCACTCCTCGCAGCCTTTCTGAACTGGAGCACACGAACTGCACTGCATTGCAGTGCCCCTCAGCAGCACTGACCACAACTTGCATTAGGCCATGGGTGATGCAAAACAGACAGCGGTGGAACAGAATCGTTCAGCCAAAATTCAGCGCCGGCAGTTTCATAGAAAAATGCACTTTCAAACAAACACGTGAACTTGTGTTAACGGAGCTCTTTTATGTTCAAGAGACACACTCCTACTAATGACTCTAGTTTCCACCGGTCTTCCAGCTGAAGACCAACTTCAACTCCCGGCAACACGCCGCCTCTGGACCACCACCTCCCCAAGTTCCTTACAGCTTGCTTGCCTCCTGCCCTCCACAGCTGTCAACTTACCTTCTGAAGGATTTTCCACACTTTCTCATAAAAGCCAACAGGAACTCTGTTAATAGCACCATCAAGCCTCCTTCTGCGCAGCCACTGCCCTTTTCGGTGACCCCAGCTCGTGTCTCCATTGGAGCCACTAGGAGAAGTACTAGTGGGAGACGATGGAGTACTGCCCCTCTGTAAGAAACATTAAAGCCTTGGTTAGTCGCTTTCTACCACCCCAAGTGCCACTCCTGGTGAATACATCACTCTGTTACAATGCTACCTCAGAACCAGGGAAAAAATACAGGCCATGATGTCATACAAGATGACGGAGCAGGACTGATCCCTTTCTCTCCCCTTCACAACAAGCTTCACTTCTCCAGTACTTCAATCATTTCTCAACAAAACAGGCAAGCAGTTCAACAAGGCATAACCCAGTAAACTTCACTGCTTGGTTCAACACAGGGCATGACTATTTCAACAAGCATGAGTTGGCTGCCAGGGCAGTGTCACTGGTGTGCAAGATGGTGGGATTTGCAGGTAGGTCTGACTCAGACTTCGGGCTCAGAGTTGTATGAGAACCAAAGGGTCCATGAATCTAGCAAGAGAGGTCCTCCATGCAAAATGCTCCATTAAAGTAAGTAGATTTAAAATTGACTTCATGGTCATGTAATCATCGTGCCTGCCTCTCTGTAAGTATCACTCTTGTTTCCTTTATTGTCACTATTGCTCTATTATTTTACTCTACTAGTCTTGGAGACTAAATTAGGCAGCAAATCATCTTTGAAGCTGTGGCACTACCACCAAATTCTTTTTCCCATTTCCACACATGCAGTCTGCCTACTCTTTGCACTCCCAGAGACCATGCTCTTCCGTTTCCTCATTCCTTTTTGCACACCTATTATTTTCAGCCCAGAAAGGACTTCACTGACAGCCCCATCTCAAATCCCATCATTTCTGAGTGAGCAATTACCTAATCAAGTACTGGGGAAAGTGGGAAATAAGAACGAAACTGTACGTTTGCAAAGCATAGGCTCACTGACTCTACGCAGCCAAGATCTGCAAAAAGACCAGCAAATGCAAAAAAAGTCCATATTCACTCCTGTTCTATCAGTGAGGCATAGGTGGTGTTCCCTTGATGGCTTGATGCATGCTATTCCTTTCCACTGCACACTGAGACAGACAGAACTTCCTCTGTTGTGCAGAGCGAGAGGATGCAGGAGGCCAGCAGGAGGGTGGGTGCCAAAGTAGAGAAATCCATCTGCACACAATAATTAATCTGGCTACTCAAGTGGTTCAGAGAAGCAAAGATCTCCCTGAACAATTCTGTGCACTTGAATCAAACACACAGTTGAAACCTGCCTTTCTGGTATATGGGAAGAGAGAGGCAGCAGCAACCTGGCAGTTGTCAGGCCAGGCCACGGGGCTAGTGGTGCTCTGCAGTTGTGTATTTAGGACACTTGGAAGGTGTGCCATCGACAGCAAGCCTGCAGACGCAGAGAACCATGAACCACAACCGCCAGTTTAAAGTGCACGGGTAGCTGCAAGCTCTCCATCTCCTCATGACAGATTTGGAGCCTCAGACTTACTTTAAATTGTTGAGGTTTTTTCTGTTGGTAAAATATTTAAACAATTATCTTCCTTCTTAACAGCAAGAGCTGAAGAAAAGCTACTGTTCTCTGCCTTGAAAGAAGATGACTGCCTGAGGAGATACCCATGCCCATAAAACCCCTGCCTCAGCAACCTGAAGCTGTTCTGGGTTTATCAATGTCCATAGACTGCCAGCATTTATCAACGCTACATTACTTTTAAAATCTGATGACACCTGTAATGTAATCCACCATCAAGTAGCTAAATCTGCTATAGTGCTTTATCTGCTACAACTGCTTAAGCTTCAGAAGAACTAAGTGGATCTAAATGCGAGACTCAACGTCTATTAAAAGATTACTAATGAGAATTGGTTCCCAATGAAGATGAACAAAACAAAGAGGTAGGGTTTGAAAAGAAGTTTTTATGCAGGAGAAGCCACAGGAGGTGTCTAGAGCTAAGCCCCTCGCACACACACGCAGGGTGAAGAGCAGGTGCAGAGCTGCAGATGGTGTTTTACCATGGAAGCGAACATGATGCTGGGCATGGAGTGGCCCTCACGAAAAAACTACAGAACAAAACCAGACACCAACATGTCAGATAGACAGCCATGACAGAACAGGATGCAAACAAGGTTAAGCAACCCCTCTGTGCAAAGACAAGAAACATGGAATAAGCTCAGGTACTCAGGGGAAAACTGTGAGAGCCCCTGGTCTCTTGCAGTGCTGCACTTCAGCTGACTTTGGGGCACCTGCTGCCGATTCCCAGGGTCACCACGAGGCAGACCCCTCCGCGCCAGGAGCCGCCTTGGTTGTGGCGCAGCCACTAGCTTCCCACGCCATCCATGGAGCTCCAAGCATGGCCAACACAAACTGCCACAGTTTAAGATGCATGCAAAAGCTTCCCTGTGACTCAGGGCTGGGAAAAAACCCCAAGCTCCCCACTTCCATTCCCCATGCATTGCAATGTCAGCAGCTTCTCTTTGCACGAGAAGGTCATCTTGCTGCAGAAAGTCTGTGGGCTGCCAACTGGCTGGGCAGCGCTAAACAAAGAGCTGCAAGGCAAAATTTTCGCTGAAATGTGGATGCACCACCTCAGACTTACAGCACTTTTCGGTAACTGTCCGCCCCAAGCCATGCCTCCGAATTAATTGTTAATGGTTCAGACCCAGGCAAAGGCTTGATGTTCAGACTCAAGAAACAACGGCGGCAAACGAAAGAGCTGCAGTTGCTCAACACCTGAGCTCTGGTGCAGCGATGTTAGTGCCAGTACTTGAAATGTTCCTTGTAACACAAATTTGACTCCCCCTCGCCCCCCCACCCCGGCAAAATGACATTAAATTAGTATCTAGTGAATTATTCAGAGAATGCAGTGAGATGTAGCAGGAAGCAGCATGAATGGCAAGGTGGGGGGAACAAAAATAAAACCAGCCAACTCCTCCTCTGCGCAAAATATTAAGTTTCCATCTAATGCAAAAGCAACCCTGGAAATATATTTCCAACCTCAACAAGTGTTTCAAGCTCAAGCCCACCTCTGTATTTAAAACAAAATAATGCTGCCACCTAGTGCCTAGTCCCTCTTCCTTCCTGGAAAGGCCCTGAAGTCAGACACCTGCCGTACGACCATGAGCCTCGCTCAGACTGAACCCCCAAAGTCACTTCAGGGACGGTAGAAAGCAGCTAGCAGCACCTTCACAGCCACAGCTGTACCATGAGGCTCGGCCATGACCACGCTCAGGCAGTGGTATGGCTCAAACATGGTGACCAGGTCTCGTGAGACAGGCATCATGCGTTTCACAGGTGCCTTTGCTTCCCTGCCTGATCGTGTCCTATGAAGAATCATTAATGGAACTTTATTGTCACCATCAAACACTCCATGTCAAGACGATGCAGAAATGCCACTTCTTTCTGAAGGCTTATCAAGCAAATCCGTGTCATATAATCAAAGGAAAACATCACATACTTCCTCAGAAACTTACAGAAATGGCCTCAGATTAAATGAATCAGGCTTGATAAGCTTTTAGAAGAGAGGGTCTTTTAAAAATATGTTTCTAATATAGAATCACAGCATGATTTGGATTGGAAGGGACTTTTACAGATCATCTAGTCCAACACCCCTGCTGTGGGCAGGGACATCTGCAACTAGATCAGGTTGCTCAGAGCCCCGTCCAACCTGACCTTGAACACTTCCAATGATGGGGCATCCACAACTTCACTGGGCAACCTGTTCCAGTGTTTCACCACCCTCATCGTAAAAAATTTCTTCCTTATGTCCAAACCAAAACTACCATCTGTCACTTTAAATCCATTGCCCCTTGTCCTGTCATAACAGGCCTTGGCAAAAAGTCTCTCTCCACCTTTCTTATAAGCTGCCTTTGCATACTGAAAGACCACAGTAAGGTCTCCCTGGAGCCCTCTCTTCTCCAGGCTGAACAACATGATGCTGTTCATTCTTATAAATGTATTTTACTTGATCACTACCTTCCTATTTATCTAGAGCAAAAGAAAATTACTAATAGAAACATAGAAAAAGAGAAATCAAAACACTCGTAACAAAACATTCTTCATTCTTATAAATGTATTTTACTTGATCACTACCTTCCTATTTATCTAGAGCAAAAGAAAATTACTAATAGAAACATAGAAAAAGAGAAATCAAAAACACTCATAATAAAACATTCAGTCACATTCATTCAGAAAATTTTGGAGGTATTTTCTATGATATTACTTCACATGCTCAGTTGCTGTGTACTTTAAAGTATTGAACTTATATATATGTATTTTCTAGCAGTAATCATCCTCCATTCTTGAAGAAACAAAACAGGAAGAAAACAAAACAAGATTTCTTTTCAAAGTGCACCTTTTCCAAAAGGCACGTGGACAACATTAGCAATTTGTGCAGAGTATAAAAATGAACAGTTTGCATGAAAGCTTCACTTTGTACATCTGACCTTTCCTTAGCTAAAGGTGATTAAAGAGCTGTTTTAAAGTTGATGCCATGAATACATTAGAGTTTGTTCAAGTTCTTCTATATTCAGTGTGTGAAACAAGAACAAAAAAGGAAGTACATTTTTGGAGGAAACATCCATTTACTGCCTTCTATTTAGTGATCAGCTTCAAATCAAAGGATCTTTGGAAATTTCTGTCATTTACCAAGAATCTATTTGACATTAAAAATGGTCTCATAAAATTAACACACAAAAATCTAACATAACACAGTACCAGAACAGCTGCACTTTCTGATGAGTACTGACTGAAAACCCTCACCTGCTTCATCTCACTCTTCAATTTAGTAATACCACTTCTTTCTGTTTTGGTTGCTCCAGAATGTCCCATTTCATGAATAGAAATTGCAGGGCTAGATGAAGAGGAATCTACAGGTCGCACTAAAAGAAGCAAATGGACATTTTTAAAATTCTAGGGGTAAAAACCCAGAAGTTAAAGATAAAAGCATATCCTTTCACAAGTGTACAATGCTCTCGGTCACAGCATCCTTTCAAATCACGTCAATAGTTCAAACCTTATTATATCAAGTCAGGGGCCTAGATCCATACTTGGATATTGGGACCTGATTTTCCAAAACACTGAGCAATCATAGCTTCAAAAGACATCAGAGTTGCAATGAGCTTGTGAGGGTTTAAGAATGAAGGTGAGAGACAGCGAAAGTGCCAGTCAGGAATATCTGGGCATCACAGACATGCTCCTTGAAAACAGGTTAGATATGCCCTTTTTATGGTCTTCATTCAGTCATATAAAATTTCTTAATTTTAAAAGTTTGCCTTCATATCACTGAGAATTGATACAGTCTTATTTGAGTGCAGGACAGCTTCCATCATATGTGTTTTGTTTATTCCACAGCAGACATACACAGGTACTGGCCACCCATGATTAATAATACATCACCTATACCTCTATTTTACCTGCCAAGAGTAGATTCCAACTTACAAGACAATCTAACTTTGTATTTATAGTTCTCACTTAACAAATACAAGTACCCAAGTGGACAACTTACAGCTTCTTTCCACACCAAACTCTTTTCCACTGAGAATATGGTGTAGGAGATTTTTCATATCAAAGGGACTTAGATTCATCAAACTCTCTGAAGCTTCTTCACCTAGTTAAAACAAAACAAAAAGAAAAAAAAAAGACAAACATCACTATAGGTTGCTTTATAGATTGTTTTCCTAAGTGAACTGCTGACTGAATGAAGTTCAGTCACATTTCCCTTGTGGCTAGTGCTTCCTTTAAAAAAATAGTATGTAGAGTCACATTTCAAAGAAAATGCATTTCAAGACTAAACACCAAACGCTGCATGGAAATAACGCTATTTGCATTAGTGAACAGTATGCTGCAGCTTGTGTGAAACCTCAGTGAAGCTGATGAAGAGAAAGCAGTTGCTCCTTTGTAGAGCAAGATCGCTTGGAAGGGCATTACAGCCGTCTCCCAAAAGCAGATGACATGCAGATTTAACTTACAGAACTAAAGTTATCCGATAAAGAAATGCATGCATGTGGAAGGCTTGTGTTTTATTTGATTAAAAGATCATACTTGTAAGTGAGAGAGCGAGAAAAAGCACATACATACATGAGCACACGTGTGTGCACAGACAAATCTCCCATAGGAGAACATGGAAAAGGCAGCAATGAAGCTGAGGGCAGTGTACAAAGCAGCTGGCCTTTAAGGCTAAGGAATAACAAAAGGGACCCCGGGAAAGAGAGGCTTTGCACTGTGAACAAAGCAGCTTCCGCTATTCAGCTACAGGTTTTGGGGAAACAGGGCTTTCCGTACATTCTTCATACAGAAACAGAATTATCCCAGAGAATTACTTGGCTCCTTTTGTCAACTTCTCCTAAGGGAGGAACCTGCCAACCCCCAGTGGTAGCTAGCCACTCAAGTTAGAGAGCAGCAGTGTCCAAAGCGGGCTGAATCTAATCAACTCCCAGGGACCCCCACTTCACTCCAGAAGGGAGAAAACCAGGGGAGACCAGAAAATATGCTTCCACAAAGTTATCCCCCTTTAGGCTGTGCTAGGGCATTAGAAACAGTAACGAGAGCTGAGCCACAAAAATATGGCCCAGATCTTGCTCCTAAGTGTCAGCATTTGACTATATATTTGTCACATTAACTTGATTACTTTTCATGACTGCTGCTTCTTAGACTTCTGACCCCTTTAAATGCAGAAAATTCTTCAATGATTTTTCAGATCTCTCTTCAATCATGATTTCTCTCTAGTTTCACTTTTCCAAAATGAGTTTTAGAACATTTTTGCCTTGCACCACTTGTTGTTACTTAATTCTTGGGTTTTTGTAGGGCGTATGCAACATCTTGGGGCCCATGAGAATTTTTTTCACTGACCTCCTGGCAAAATAATGTATTACTAGCTGAAATCTAAACAGCAAATATTTTTCAACTAAGTACATTCAAGGGGAGAAGGCTTACTCATAAATGGAAGAGGATCAGAAGTTTGAATAAAAACTGAATTAAGGCTCCAATATTCAGAAGATACCTAGGGTCCTAATTCTCATTGACGTTAGTGGCATTGGGCCCCTAAATAAACACACGTGCAATTTCATGACCTGGACCTCAAACACTTACTGAAAGTCAGGGGACTTAAATGTTTAATATCCACTTCAGTCTGAATAACTGGGGAATGGGGGGGCAGGAATCTTTCATTAAGTCAAAAAGAGAAGTTATTTTCAAAGTCTGTAACTGCACATGCTGAATGAAGAAGTTAATAAAAGGATTTAACACATACAAATGAAAAAGCAACCACTGAGAAATAATGGCCTAAGTACCCTTATGATAAAATTGCTCTTACCTGAGCATTTCAGACTCCGAGCCAGCTCAGTGGCCATAACCTGAATTATCAGACCAATGCGGAGCCTGAGCATCTCCATAAAAAGACTAGGCTGTGACCGGACGAACATCGCCAAGTACATAATTATTTCCTGTAAGGACAAATCCATAAGGGCACCCATTCAGAATGGGTCCTCTGGGCTCTCCCAGTCACAGAGCAAACATTGGCACCACATTGGGCACAGCTGAAGAACCCTTTTTACACATGCTGCACACCTGTGTCAGGACTGCAATACTGATGTCTTGGCCGCTGGCTTCATAAATAAGATCTGTGAGCTCCTCAGGTGGCAGTGGGCTGCAAGAAGGCAAACCACAGTTAGCAGTGACTCAGGCACTTGCTGTTAACCTCTTGAACACGCACCAGAACCAAGTCACCCAGAAACATCTTTGCACCACAAAGGTGTCTATGATTCTGCCTGGGTGGCTGCAATTCCTTCTGAAGGTGAGGAATAAGTTTGAAAACAAGAAACAGCAGCAGAATGGTACCAGCAGGAAGATGAAGGGCAGGCTGCTTCTGTAACTGAGGCAGAGCTCCAACTTACGCAGTAATGATTTTCTCACGGGGTTCTGGTGGCAGGCCCACTGTAAGTTGCTTGTGGTGTGACAGAAGGTCTGTGCATGCCTATCATAATGTGACAGAAAGCAAGAGACCTTTCTCTGAGTCATGTGGAAGTGATACAGCTTTTAATTCCCAAAAATGAAGCATTTCTTTAGCAATTTTTAAGTGCATTTCTATTAATTACCAGACATGCAGATGCAGCAGAATGCTGTTAACAGTTGCCAAAGATCCCCTGAGGTCAACAGGGCTATGACAGTCTGCCCAGGCTGAAAACCTGCTTCCCTGCTGAGTGAAATCAGCAGCATAATGATTAGGGACTTCAGTGGGGCTGGCAGATCAATAAAGGACTTTATCCTTTATAAGATAAATGTTTGTTCTTTATTTAAGACTAAAACCATTTTTAATCAATGAAAAACTTGGCAGTATTAGCTCAAAAAAAATCCTGCATACTAATGTATCTCTTAAAACAAACAAATACCAAACATACTGCATCACATTCCTGAATTAGGCACCCTGATATATTCTGAAATAGATGCTTCCCCCAATATACCACAGTGTTTACTCTTTTAAACTCAAAATACTCAAACTCCTTTAAAAGTGGGTGTTCAGTTTACCTGTTTTAGCATCCTGAATCAAAGACATCACAGAGCGATGTTCCTCTGATTTTGAAGAGTCTATTTTCCCTCCCTTAACGTGGAACAAAACACATAATCTCTACTCTCTTCCTCCCCAATTCTTTGTCAGTATCTTCTCAATTGAACATACACAGCTTTCTGTGAGCGTGTCTGTACTGCTTGTCCATCATGTCTTGAGGATGGAAATGGTTATGGGCTTAATGAAGTACCATGCAGGGCCATTATCACAAATTCCTCCCCACAGATATGACTGTCGCTAAAATAGGGCATCCTAGGTGTGACAGTCAAGGGTTTGAAAATGGCCAGGAATTAGAGAAAGAGCTCTTCAGATATATACAGGGATAAGCAGGAAATGAAACAAATACTTTAGAGTACTTGACAGGAAACATTTTTGTAATATTCAAAATCAAATCTGTACCCTTACAGTAGATCTTTCTTGTTACCATTTAATAGTCCCAGATATTTTAATTCCTCTGAGCATCCACATCCACGCACACGGCAGACTGTCTGCCCAATGGGACAGGAATTGGCAGAACATGTTTTTGCATCGTCACTAGCACCTTGACATACTGGTGCTTCAAAAGTGTTCATGCTATCACAATAGCAATAGACAATTACTAATGACAACTACAGCTTTCAAAGCACATAATCAAGCATCTCTGATTAACAGAGATGAAATGAAGCCTTCACAATAATTTACAGCGTGACATTCTCAGTCCATGCCAACATTAGCATAGTTCACATACAGAAGAAAGGTAAAGATGTCATAACAAGATTTTCAATCAGAAAAGCAACCAATGTTCACTGAAAAATGCTGCGCTATGTAAGTTGTGAAGTAAGACTAGAAGAGGGCAAGGACAAGCCCCATCAGCAAACTGGTAGTTTTATCTCTGTTTCCAGGCAGGAAACTGAACCAGCATTATTTATATTTCATACCTCAGCCAGGACTTCCACTCTCTTTTTAAGTATACCAGAAATATAACGGATCAAGCCCCATTCTTGATTGAGGCCTGCCTTTCTGTAGAGCTCATTGAGTAGGCAATGAACAGTAACGCCGTACTGTCCATCCAGCTCTGTGTCCCAGTCAGCGCCTCTGCCAGAAAAGACACAGAAGGTAACTGTCATCAGATAAAATGCTACACTGCTTAACCTTACCACAAAACAAGCAGCCTGATTTTGATCGCATTGCTCATTTTGGTGACAGAATTAAGTAGTACATGGGACATGTGGGCCTTCACCAGCGATCAGTTATATGTGGACAAAACCTTCCTGATACCAGGAACTTTCATATTAACTTGAGCACTCACTTAGCCATGAGCCTGTGACTTCAAAGCAACCACCCAAGGGATTTCCCACCAGGCTTTAAACTGAGCATGCACGCAGACTGTTTGCTGGAGGAACGCTCCATGTGGTGCTTTTTCAGAGCAGAATTCAGCAATGTCTTCAGTACTGCTGAAGACTGCACCCATTTTTCAGATGCCTCAGGGGGCTATGTAAGTTTTTTGCCCTGCCTCTTTCTTAGCTATTAACTAAGCTTCCACACTGCTTATGCCATTACTGAAAAAGCAAGAGAGATTTCTGTTCCCTCCTGGTTGTGAAATTCACTGCATTATGGCTTCTCTTTGATAATGTTTTGAAGCGTCACAGAACGACCTTTCAACTCCTGCTAAAGGGACAGAGTCCACCAGAAGTCCACCTGCTTGCCCAACAGAGACTCCCACGATGAAACAAGTCCAGAACAGGAAATTAAGGGTGTTGCATGTAGTTAAACAACAAAATGATATTTTTTCAGGATTTCCTTTGCTCTGTAAGAGAGGCCGCTAAACGTTTTGCTTGGGAAATCAAGAAGATCAATGAAGACGTCTCACAGGAGAAAGACTAAAATAAACAAAAATACAATCTTTGTAGCAGTAAGGAAGACCACCTGTGATTAAGACATGCTTGTCTTTGTACCCAAAGCTAACTTCCTGCCAGGTTCCAGCAGTATTCTCCCGCACAGGACAAAAAGCCCAATAAATGCACTCCAGAAGATGATTCCGTTGGTTTGCACTTGCATTTTGTTCCCATCAAACCTATTTAAGTAGCAGCTGTTTACTAACCCAGCAGCTGGGGTTAGACTGTTTCCAAGAATGTTTTGAAGAGCACTGAGTTTTAGCCAGTGGTGCACTTAAACATATAGAGGGATTAGAGGAAAAATAGTGACTGCTCATTAAAATTGCGTTTTGCTTTTAGTTAGAAAATGACAAGATGAAGTTTCCCTTCACTTCCCTTCTTGTGTATAAAAATCACACCCAATCTTTGTGAACTTAACAGAGTGCCACAAATATAGCAAGGTGTCTTCTCATTCATGGAAGGGATTTGTGAATTTCACTTGTGAGCCTTGGAGCCTGTATGTATTCGCAACTGTGTGCCTACTCTGAAATTTGCACAAGCGTTTTTTTGTATCCAAATGTAATCAAGCTAACTGAAAATATGCTTGTTAAAGCACAAAACATTTTAACCTCTCCCCTCGAAACACAACCCTGAACAGTGGAAAGCTTTTGCACAAGAATAATCAGACAGCTGTGACCAAACTTAAAGATGCTGAACTTTATACTCAGATAACTCACTTTAGTATATGCAAGATGTATAAGATATCTGCTTGATCATGGAGCGTTGGACATTCCTTCAGCTGCTCAACAAGCTTCCTGCAATCCAAACCACCATGAGCATCTTCAGGTAAGTGCAAAACATTTTCACATTCCTGATAACAAAAATGGATGAAAAATCAAAGAAATGATCTTGAAAAAAGTAGCAGATCAAATTCAAACTTTAACTTCCCATTAAACAATACAACAGACTTGCAACATAACTCTGCACTTGAAATACAGACACATCACATAATTCTTGCCAGACATGAAAAGGAGACTAATCCCACGAAACACAACACCCAGAATGGAACTTTGTCTCCAGTTTTGGTTCAATCAGCAAGGAAAGCCATTTTTTGGCCAAAACAAAGAAATATTTTGTTAAAGAAGGAAACCAAATTATTTGCATGCTTTTCCTGTCATTTGCTGTTACTTGTAAAGAGAAAAGCAGAAGGATACTGCCTTTTTGCATCATCGCTAATGTAGAATGTTTTGAGTTCCATCTCTAACCTGTATATATGTGGTGTTTTATGAATGCAGATGTTACCATCATAAATTTTCCAAGCTTACGAAACTAACATGTTAACTAATCAGATGATGCAATCCTGTGGTGAGTTCTTGGATGAAGAGAAGTTTTGTTTAATAAGCTATTCAGCAATTTATACGGTCCTATTTCGGGAGGCAGCATACAACCTCCTGTAACCATTCTCAGCAGCTGGTCACATATACTAAGACAAAACAAGCGCCCAGCACAACCCCATCTTCATGCCTTGTAGTGGGATTTGGCTGGTGCCTTAAGCACACCTGTCCTTTCACGCACTCCCCTCCTGCCCAGACATTACTATAAATAGCATTTCTTGGAGAACATCTCTAAAGGCCGTGAACATCCCGTCCCTCCCTTTGTGTGTTCAGTTAGAACTAAAGACAATGACTTAACCTTTGGCCTTTAAAAATAAGCACTTATTACATTATTTTCTGTTTGGCACACACAATTAAATATTTTCCACTTGATAATGTCTATTTAACCAAAAAACCTTCACCCAGCCAAAAAATAAATTCCAAACAAGGGAGCAGCTATCCGGTGCCTCGGGCAGAATGGCTCGCCTGTGAAGGAAAATGAGAACTAGCATAGGGTTTTGGCTGGGAAACACAGGAAAAGGCCACAGTACTGCGTCCTAAAAACACAAACAGCATAAAAATTCCCACAGCTTACCTTTGTCTCAAAGAAATGGGGATTATCAACAAGATTCAGAGACTTCCGGTGCGTGTTCAGAACTTTAGTGGGAAGAGACATAGACACATCTGGAAAGCAAAGCCACCAGAAAGAAGAAAAAAAAAGTCTGTTTCAGTAACATGAAAATCGAAAACACCTACATGAAGCAACAATACTACGTAAAAACAACAGAAATACCTCCAAAAGTAAAATATAGAGGCAACACTTCTGAGATAGCGTGCGTGGAACTCGGAGACAAACTCATGTTCTGAACCTTATCTCCTTGCAGGCTTGCTCCAAAAGCTTCTGAGATCAGCATGTCAAAGGTTCAGGCGCTACATGCTCAACTGATACCTCTTATGACAGCCCATGCCTCAGAAACCCTACAGCCCTATGACCTGATCCTGCTAAGTGTTTTTAACATTTTATCAGGAAGTATGTGGAGAAAATTATCTAATTGGTAAGATATCATAATTAAAATGATAATGCTAAATGCAGGCTAATGCTCTGTTAACTTCCTATGTTGAATTCAACAGAGGATCTGATGATGTGGCACATGAAATATGGAAGACTAACAAAAAAACTTGGAAATTACTAATTTATACTGATGTTAAGGGAAGCCTTCCCTTAACCAGGGCATTGAATACTACATACCTACATATAAAATGATGCGTATTTTGGAATGTATTTACAAATTCAGTCAAAGCATTAATTTTGGTGTAAATCCTCCAATCAGTCTATTAGAAATGTAGCACAATTAGGAATACTGTCCTCCCTCTCTACTCCATTTTTTCTTACAAATTTAGAAAGTACATGCATATACTTATGTTTTTCTGGCACTGAAACATTTCATTTCACCACAACTTTATTAAAATAAGAAAGTACATTTTGTCTGCCTTTGTATAAACAAACAAACAAAAAAATTCACTGACTCAGGTTCTAAAATTCTATCCAACTGAGAAGCTGTAGCAGTTTACATAACATTAACATTGATTAAATGTTACATTTCATAGCACGTTATTTATGTATACACCAAGACATGGGATACTGTGGGAACATGACAATAACAGCTTCAGATTCATTCTTATTTCTTGATAACATACTTGTGCCACTAGTTCTTTTTAAATGGCAGAATTTTGAAATACTTGAACTTACCCCTTGTAGCACCCAAAACAGTTCTTCTATTATTATCACTAAATAAATCATAGGGAGAAATACCTGGAACCTCCAAGCCCTTTGTCTTGGCCATTATTGACAGTATTTCTTTTGTGGAATGGTTTGCACTGAACACAGGTGGTTGATTCGCAGTCTTTGAAGTTGGAGGCAGGTATGACTTCAGTGCTGTGCTCTGAAGGACATCATTTATATATTGATCCAGCTCATCCTGGCTTTCTAGTGTGAATTACATAAAAGAAAAGGTTTATTAAAGGTAAAACCATAATTTATCAGTGCTTTCTTTTCCAAACACACCACTCTATTCTTGCTTATATAGAAGGGCGCACAAAAATGCAAGAATATCAAAAGCAAGAGATTTTTAAGCTGACAAATTGAAAAGAAAAAAAAAAAGATCGGTTTTTGACGCTTTGAAAACAGTTACATTAGTAAGTTGGTTTTCCCTTTGAAAGGAAGCAAAAAAGTGTTTATCTTGCTGGTAGTCCACAGATCACAGCTGGACTCGATGATCTTAACGGTCTTTTCCAACCTAAATGATTCTAAGATTCTATCATCTCTTCCACACAAGCTCTTGTCTATGACTCCTCACACTCTCTTCCTCCCTCTAGCCTCTTCCTCAGCCCCCCCCACCCCACCTGCTGACTCTTCAGACTCAGTTTTACTGCAGCAGTTACTGGTCAACGCCATACTACGAACGTAGGAAGAATATGCACAAATTCCTTCTCCAAATTAAGTCATGCAGTTACTGTCCTCAGACTGATGCATGAGAAACCTCAATGACTATCAACTGCGCACAAAACAGACTCTGCATTGTAGGTAAACCCAGGCTCTGCTGATAGAACTTGACAGAGAAAAAATTTGAAGTGAAAAAACACTACCTTTTTCACAGAAATCTGCTGGATAGCCTCCATATTCACTGTCAGGACTATTACAGCCTTCAATAGGGTCATCAAACAGTTTTATGTCACAGTCTGGATCCAGGAAGCTCAGATACGTATGAAAAGAGGTGGTAAGAAATTCTGATAGCTTGCCTATCTTCACCCTGCAAACCGGAACACATGCCAAAGAGCATTAAGATCCACCATTTTGATACTGATTAATGCTCACTGAGCTTTCAACAACTCCTTCAAAATTTACGAGCCTACTGTTAAATCCACCTTTGGTAACTACAAAGCAGCAGATATCGATACTGAGAAAAACAAACGCAAAACAATAGTTGCAGATCCAGCTGGGTACTTACTGCTCTAGCTACTAATTGAACCTAACTGTGTTATGGTTAACACCTACAGGCCTAACTCAAAGCCTAATCATGCAGGGTGCTGTATGTTTATATGAAGAGAGACCCTGAACAAAGACCTAAACTCCAAGGATAATGACAAACTGGGGTTGAGAAGTTCCCATGAACAGCAGTATCTTTTCACAGAACTGCAGTGCTGCTAAAAAACAGAAAGCACATCTGATTGTCAGAGGAAGATACTTATTGAGAGAGGGCAAGCAAAAAGAGAATAGGGAGGTACTGTGGCAACATATTAAATTGCTTTTATATGTAGATGAATGGAACACATAAGCTTGCAAGTACTACATGTAATTCATGTTTAAAACATGTCCAATACCTGTGAAAGATAATTACTTTTTAAAAACAGAAGCCCAGCCAAGACCAAGTATTTCCAAAGGTTTGACATTCATTTTTCCTTATCCATTAACGGCAGTCAGAGATGGTACACCTTTTGGGAGACAGATCTTTTCCATTGCACCTGAGGTCCAGCTACCATCTGATTGCCACATAATAACTACAGTTGAAGCTTCTCTCTCTCTCACAGAATTCTAGTACAAGGTCTGTGCACTATCACAAGTTCAAAACTGAGGATTTGTATACGATTTAATTAAAAAAATCATGGAGACAGTCATTTGGGGGTTCTGAAATTACCTTGCACCTCCAAAATAACCATCCTCTAATTTTCTTATGGTGGCAAGAACTGCTGGATGAATGTCAGTACCATCATCAACTAAAAAAGAATAATGGAAGAGTTGAAGCTTACCAACACATTCTTAAATTATCATGTCCAAATAAAGTGGATTACTGGGTGTTCTCTACAAAGTAAATCAGACAAATTTACAACAGAACTCACAACTGCTATCAATACTAGCTTATTCAAAAAACCCCAAACAAGCAAACAAAAAACAACCCTGAGACAAGTTCTAAAGGGATTTCTCAAGACAAAACCCAACCCACTCAAGACAAGTTCCAAAGGGACTTCTATCAAATGTCTTTGGACAGAAATAGTATGGAGATGATAGTGAGATGCAAGGATATAAAGGGGGAGTAAAACCAAAACAAAATATTACCATGTCATCCAAATTCAGCATACACTTGAAAAAGTTAAACTGTACTTCTGATGTTAAAACTCAGATGTTGAAACAGTCATGCCACCTGTCTCCTCTTAAACCAACTTCTATCCTACTCCCCTGCAATAATCTACTCTGCTTGAAACAGAGAAAATTAAGTTTACCAAGCATCGTGTGGGTGATGGGAAACGTCAGGGTTGGTCTCCCTGTCATCCTCCAACAAGAAGTGAGGTAAGCCAGCTCTGTCTTGAGCATCTCCACAATCATCTGATTGTCTAGAGCCAGATAGAAGTGATGCTGGTCAGTAAACTAGAGAACAGAGAAATATGACATATGAGTAGTTGTCAGTGCTTTCATTATTTTTTTCCATTTCCTCCCTTAAATCATTCACAAAAGCCATATGAACTATTCTTGACCACAACACAGACTGCATGAATTAACCTAACAAGGCCCGCAACTGTGAAAAGGAAATCCATGCTTGTGCAGAGTCCATTTTCTTACACTTGTAGGCTGACAGAGAAAGAAGTAGGCCATACAAATAAAAAGTAGATAATCACACCCATGAAATAGAATATTCCCAATGATGAATTACAGTAACCTATGACCTGGGAGACAGAAGTACTCTAAATGTGGAAGAAAAAACTAACAATAGCAACAAAAACAATAAATAGGCTTAAGTCCACACTGGGGACTGGGGATTAGTAACTGTATGTCTCTTGGGAACAATCTGAAAGTCAAGCAGAATACAGAAAAGCTGGCAGTTACTGTGGAAAAAAGGTACATTAAACGTACAATGGTAAAGTGTGCTGTTCCCACTACAGAGGAAAGCCAAGAACCACAGTAAGAGACTATTACAGCTACTTCAGGAGCTGGAAACCAAAAAAGCTGGACGAACAATGGAAAGTATATCAAAGCAGCCACAACAAAAGTTGTGGAAGCACGTCAGCCTTGGGGAGGGGTGGAAAAAGGAGGTTGGGATGTAAAATAAACATCAATTAGTAAGACACATAATGGTCGAGCAGAAAACATCCTGTAAACACATCAGAAGTAATAAGAAAATACAGAAGCTGTAGGTCTGTTAATAAAGAAAGAAAGGAGGTAGGAAGAGAGGATACAGACAAGCTGAAGCATTCGATACTGACAGAAGAAAACTAGTGAATTATGACCTGTAATACTACTTTTAACGAAGCAATAGGAGTCCAGCCTTAGTACGGGAAGAAAAGGTTAAAGAGCATGTAAATTCAAGCTGGAGAAGTCCAGAGAAATTACTTCACAGAACTCAAGGAACTAGCCAAAACAGTCCCTGAGCCACTCGCAATTAGTTTTGATAATTCAGGAAGAACAAGTTCCAGAAATCCAGAGACAAGCAAACACACAGCCCGTCTTTAAAAACGAAAAGCCTTTTTAGACTCTTAGGCTCATAGACCAGTCAAGCCAATTTCAGTGCCTGAAAGTACAGGAAAACAAAGCCAATCTGAGACTGCCAAGATAATTACAAAATGATAAAGCACGATGGCCAAACAGTCATATCAAAAGCCAACCTCAGCAAACGAGTCCAATTTCGTACTTTGGGAGCAACCAGATGGTAGGTGCAAGAAAGTGGCTGACATCTCTCAACTTTTGCAAATTTTCACACTAATAAGCTGAAGATAAAACATCTGAGGAAGCAGAACTGCTTGAAAAATTGTTCTCAAAAGGTAGTTATTAACCATTTTTTCAAAATGAGAGGGTATCTAAATGGGGTCAGCCTTTGCCCCACACCTAATCAATGTTTTCATTAGAGAATAGGATGAAATACAAACTACAAAACCACAAAATTTGTGGACATTACTCAAGATCAACACAGATGAGTTAACTGTTAACCTTAGGAAGGTGAAATTAAACATAATTCCACCCACCCAAAAAAAAGTCAGGGGGAAATGTCTGGCTACAAAGTACAACGAAAAATGTTATGGAGGTTTTCATCAAACATGGAATAAGCAGGAATTGTCAGTGCGTTGCTGATGCAATGATAAATGCCATTTTGGAATGTATTAATAAGTATGCCCATACTTGATACACAGCAAGATTTCAGCTGGAATATTGGGTCCTACTTACATAGTAAAATGTGGACGAAGAGATATTTTGAAAAAAATCACGACTAAGTAATTTTTCCCTAATTTGCGAAAGTGAAAATTAACAACACAACAAATAAACTGATCAATTGACATGGGGAAGAACAGGAAGGGAGCCACATTATTTGCAGTAAATCTGATGCTGTTTGGACATCATGAAGCACTGCAGAAGCTATCTATGGAGTCCACTGAATGTCTTGCACTGGAATTTAAAGACTGCATTAGTCGAATATCTATTTAGGAGGGTGTGAGCATTCTTTATCCTGCTCCAGTTGCACATGTTTGGAGTAGGTGATCCCTCAGTCTTCTAGTACCAACTGCTAGAATAAGTCTACAGCAGTGTGTCATATTTCATTAAACGTGTAAATACGAGCCATTAATTCTGGGAGAATCTAAACTTCCAGCTACACTGAAAAAGGCACTAAAGAGAAAACAAAGACAGAGCATCCCTTTCTCAGCACTATTGACCCTTTCAACAACATAATGAAAAGATCACATCTTAGTCTTTTGGGGGTTATAGTACTTGGCATGCTTATGTGAAACTAAATTTTCCATCAAAGCAATCAGTAGAAAGATATATTAAGTGACCTATTTCTGGAGAAACGATTTCATTAGCTAGAATGTTGGTTTGGGCAGAGATCAGTAGCAACTCTGTACTATTGATTTGCTGTGTTCTCCTAAGCCAGAAGCCAAAGAAGCCAGACTCTGTACGACGGAAGAGAGATTTATCAGTACTCCTACCATGCTGATCATCCAATGCTCTTAAAAAACCCACAAAGCAAAGCACATCTGATTTATCAGCCCTGCTATACCAAAGTAGTGTGATGGCACGTAAAAGCAAAGCGCTTCACTAATGATTAGCCATTAAGAAAGCAGCAATTTCCCTGTCAGCTTTACAAGCTCACCTGAGGGGTAAAAGCAAATATTTGATTTCTTATCATGTACAGCTTGGAGGTGCCTAACACTCCAATGTGTCGGTGTGGCCGTCCACTTAATTTCATGTTCTTGTTCCGGCCTATAAAGAAAAGAGAAAGAAAAAAAAGTCTCACCTAGCATTTCCTGTGTGGTTTTCCACAACAACCATTTTAGACAAGGAGATCTACTTCATTCATATCACCAAGGCAGAGACAGGTAACACAGTGAGATGCTACAGACCGGTGTGTTTTGTAGCAACCACCAATGTAATAGCTAGAGTTCTTCAAAGGCCTGATTAAAATAAAAATTTTGGCTTCACTGACCATCAGTTTGAGTCCTTCAATTACAGTCATTGCTCAGCACCCAAATCTTCCCCGCCAATGACAGGAGGTATGACCTTTCAAAAACAAGGCCATCAACATACAACAGAAATTGCTGTGCTTTCACTGTAGAACCTTAAAAATTCTTGCCCACAGAAGGCTAAATCCAAATACAAGGTACATCCAAATACAAAGATTTTCATTCATCAGGCTAATAAGCCGCACTTTTCTCATTAGAGCTTATTAGCGAATGATCCACACTGCACGCTTTGCTCCAGCAGCCAGGAGCCGACTTGAAAACCTCCCAGGCTGTCTTCTGGCAGAATGGCAACCACACTGCTCAGACTTAAAAGAGAAGTACTCTGACTTCTGAAAAGAAAAACATCTGATTTTTTCCTGTGTTTTTCCAGGCATTTTTTCTAAAGCCAGTTTCTCTGTGGAAGTAGCTCCTGGAGGACAAAAAAAAGCGATAGTTCTTGCCTAACTCCAAGGGCACAGGGAAACTTGTATTTTGGCCACCTTTTCTAATGAGGCTTTTTTTTTTTCCTGTTGGAGTCCTTTATTTAAGACAGAAGTTCTAATTTTGTTAAGCTTCTTTGCACAAATGCATTTTTTTTTAAATCAAAGAAATTGATTTAAATAAAAGAAATTAAATCAAGGAAGTTGAGACAGTGTGAAGCAAGAAAAGCAAAAAACAAAACACCACCCTTAAAAAATACCTTGCACATCAGTAGAGAGAGGCTTCCATGTTCAACTACCTACCCAGCATGGTGTAGAGATTACTCAGGATGCGAGCTGGCTGCACTCGGAGTGGATGGATATCAGCAATGCTCTGAACATTGATTCCATGGTCTTGCAAGAGATTCTTAATTTGATTAGATTCTGCCAAAACAGTTACTGCATAACAGAAAACAAAAACACTAGTAAGAACCAATGTTCTACTTTTTTTAACTGAATGTTTCTACTGTCATCTCTCAACTACTGCATTTAGTTGACTAAAAAGGCACAAAGGCCTTCCTTCTTTCTTAATTTATGAGCCCGTGAGATCAAAAGGGATTGCAAGAGGGCATCCAACAGATTTCGTCTCTCTGCTTCTCAACATATCTTGCCATTCTTGTCCACTTTGGGTCACAAGGTAATTCAAGTTGGAAGGGTCCTCACAAGGTCTCTTCTCCAACCTCTAGCTCAAAGCAGGGTCAGCTCTGCAGTCAGACCAGGTTCTTCGGGGCTTTATCAGTTTCTTCTGATTTCTTTCAGTACCGTAGTTTGGATCATGCAGTCTCTTTCAGCAGATAGGGCTTTTCCCCCCGTAAAACAAGGGGAAACATGACTTGAAAATCTTTGTTGTTTTAATACAGCAGACTGTAACAACACAGCCAAGTCAATGGGGAGCAGGTGCTGTTACTTGTATAGCAATCAGTGTTACAGAGGCCATAAAGTGGCAGAAGTAGGAAAAAACAAAAGTCCCAAAATCAGAGGAATTTACAATCCAGGCCCTGATCCCACCTCTTGTCCTGCTTGAGGTTTTGCCCATGTTAGCTGGCTCATTGGTTTGGGACTAATAATTCAGCATTCTTCTTTGCATTATAAATACTTGTCAAAGAATGCTAAAAATAAGCAAGCACTTCTATTTCTACTAGAAATTACGCACTTCAGAGTAACAAAATGCCACCCCCATAAGACACCAACAGGAGGTAAACAAGCACATGCCCAGGTCACAGTATCATTAATGAAGGCTTCTCCTGATAGACAGTCTGGTTGCTTTTCCAGAGCAGTACAGGTCCTTGAAAAGCCTGTAAGCCCTCATCGGCTGGTGTTTGCCCTTTGCTTTGCTCCTGCATTGACTAAAGAAGCCATTCCCTGCAGCAGCCAAAAGACAGCCGTAAGTCTGGCTACCTCACCTCTGTGTACAGAGATCCTCCCCACTCATCGCTCTTTGGTTCTTTTAAAATGGCGCTGCACAGAAACCTAACTAAACTGACCAGTCTCCTGTCAGTCCTGCTCTTTCATGCTAGAATCCACCAAGATTTTCCTTCTCACTACAAGATTAAGTTTGCCACTCTCCAGTCCCTGACAAGTCTTAAAATTTTAGCAAGTATTTTTAAAACAAGTTTGTTAAACCTGATCTTCCCTCCTGGAAAAAGGCAGCCAGGCAAACAACCCCCTTCTCCTTCTCACAGTATCATCAAAGCATCCACACCCCATGCAAAAATCCACATTGTTTTTAAACATGTCTTCCTTCTCTCCTGTACATAAGGACTTCGCCATCACATGATCCAATTCATCCAGAATGTTCAAAAAACTTCCTCACCTTGTACCACAACATCAGGTTTAAATCCAGTGGAAAATCTCCTGTTTAAGGGATCAATTTCACCTGCAGCAAGAAATCCCTAGAATAAATGCAAGAGAAAGAAAAAAGAAAGGAAACAAACAAAAATTAAGTAAAAGGGTTCTGATGACATTTAGAAGAAATCTTAACAAATTTTCATATTTTATCAGGAGAGCAGGACTTAAAGCCTTGTTTATCTATCCCATCCACTAACTAGTACATTGAATAAAAACAATGGCAGCCATGTTTTTCAGAACAACAAGAAAATGGTTATGACTGACATAATCTGCATGTTCAGATTTCCTATTTTAGAGTTGCAGCAACTGATGCAATTTTGCCAGGCCAGTGATTTATTTGCAGCTCCACAGAGATATTCAATGGTTCCTTTAACAAGTCTATGGCTAATATGGGAGAACCCTGTAGGCACCTACAAGTAAGGCATAGCCTAGTGGAGCTGAAACAGCGCAAAATCCTAGCTCTGGGACAGCCAGGTCTGCCTGGGCGTATTCCTCTAGCCTAACTGTATATCCAGTCCATCTGTCAACTTACTCAGCTTGATTATAGAAACAGACAATTGCATATCTGTATATAGACACCAAGAAAAAGCTCCTGAAAGCTCAGAGTCACCCCTCCATGGTTCATGTACATGTTTCTACTGGAAAACACATTGTCCCCTACCTGTCAACCAAACTGTACTTAAAGCCCAAGTCATCTCAAAACAAAATGAAATACAAGCTCACCTACTATACAGGAAACAATTACCTCTGCTAATAGGCAGCTAAGGACATACAATGATTGTCCCCAAAGATGAGGCAATTTTCCCACTGGGATACGATCCACTGAGTGAGGATTTTCATACTCCTCGTCCACCTGAAAACAAATGCATAAGCAAGAAAAATTACCCTGAAGTTGTGAAGAACAATCAATAACATGGAAGTATTTGAAAAAATACGGTTTATCATCTACCCTTTCTAACCTGCCATTATTACTGACATCCAGATCTCTTGGTTTTACTTTTAAGGCTGCACATTTTCTGGGATAACAACTATGCTTCATTTTCGTACACTGCTCCACCCTTCGAAGCTGGAGGTTGAATGGGGACTCTGCATGCCATTATAGCTTTGGTGTTAGCACTTCCCCTTTCTTCTCACCATGCCTTTGCTGCCTTCCCTCTGGGAGGCTTGTAGGTAACTGTGTGTCTGCTCTCCAACTCCTTGCAAGATGACACCTCAACTTCACTGGTGTCTGCTTAGCTTCCTGAAGTAAAGGTGCTTTCCAAAAATGAAGGCTATTCCACCTTTCAGTGTTAGCAAGAATGGTCAATGGAAAAATTAAGAGTAGACTCTTATTAATTTAGAAAAAGAAAAACTGCCTTGGTTTTGAAGTATACAGATCTATTGAGGACAGGGGAAAAACCCTCCTAGACAGTATCTTTACTGTAGCCATTTTAAAATTTACAAATGACAGGCAAAATCTACCCTGTTTATTTGGCATGTTCATCAGATTATCATCGTATCAAGATTCACAAGAAGGCTCTGAACTCTTACACGCTTGTTCCCACTAGAGTTCAGATCTTCCACCTCAGATTTGCAAGAAAGACATCAGCTGTCGACACTCGCTGCCCAAACTCAGACCAACCCAGCAGGCTCCACACCCTTAGTGAGTGAGGGCTGAGAAGGCTGGACTGGGAAAAGCAGTTGGCAGGGATACAAAGGCAAAGAGCATGGAAGAGCACATAAGCTCGTCTGAATTTCTCTGTCACAATGGGAGAATCAGGTAAACAGTAACAGCAAAGATGGGGGAAAAGAAAAGCAAACAAACAAAACAAACAAAAAACCCAACCCATACCCTAATCCATCTGAAACCTGTTTATCTCTCACATACAAGCTCTGGAAAAGGAAGAGCACAGTCTATGCTTTATTTCTTCTTTGAGCTTCAGTTCCTAAGTCAGCATCAGCACTTCTTAAACATGTGTCTTGCTACGAGGATTTAAAACTTTAGACCTGCTCTAATATTTCCGTAGGCACCCAGATTCCCAAGTAAAAATGTGACCATTTGGAAGCCTAAAGTTTACCATTTGTCAGCGGGAGCTGTGAGAGGTCTCTTAGTTTTTAAATAATGTGCAGTAGTCTTTTTTTTTTTGTTGGTGGTTTAGATTTATCAGCTACAGGAAAACTGTAAAACTAACATTCATCTTGATATCTATACTGTGCATACGGAAGTGGATGCTGCATTTTCACAATACCTTTTCTGGAGGGACTGCGTACAGTTCAAGCATTAGCACTATTCCGTTCTTCTCTCTAATAAGTATTCCTTCCAGAGCCTCTCTATACTCTTGTACCTGGAAATATTTTTAAGAGAGTGAGAATTCACATTACAGTCAGCAAACCCGAAACAGGAAAGTTAAAGTTTTAGTACTTTCCAACAGTACTTTTCTGCTGAAAGTTCATTTAAAAAGGGGGGGGGGAGAGGGGAGAGGATCATGACTTGCTGATGGAAGATCAGGGTTCAAATTCTCAGAGACTGTGCCAGCATCTCAATATTATCAGCCTCAGAAACATGAACACACATCTTTAATCTATAACATACTGCTGCAGTACAAAACTTCTAACATATTCCTATCAAGAAGTCACTGGAACAGATCCTACATGAAATATGCAACGGATAACAATGCAGTGACTGCTAATATCCATAAAAGTGTAAGGTGTATAAATTGTTAGCTTTCTACCATGCACATTTGTCTATGATTTTCTGAATTCTGCTTTGCAGGATTGGGAAATCAGTTTCTCTTAACTGATTCGCTTGAAAATTTGCCCCATGGAAAACTTAAAATAGATTTAAACTGTTTAAAAATATCTAAGTTAACTGAACAGAAAATCCTCTTGCTCTTCTGTTGTTAGACAACATATTAAGAACAGGAATACCAGACTGATACAAAATAAAGAACATTTAATATTCTTTTTACCAGATCCCTTATTTTGTTCCATTTCTTAACTGTTCCATTCCAAGTTTTTACTTACAGGGAAACTGTTTTCAACCACTACCAGCATGTGCCTCTCAAATCCTGCTTCTGCTTTCCCTTTCTGAGTACAGTGGAACATGCAAGCTAAGGTACCCACAGGTTCATATTATGGTACACTGATATTTTCAGTATCCTGTCCTTCTCCACTCTTCTTGAGTCCTCAGAGTGCTTATTTTTCTAACAATTGCTGCCATTGCAACGACTTGTTTGCAGCAGTAATTGGGGAAGCCTAGACACTCACCTGAGTGTCTCAGTGACTCACTCAGCTATGTTTAAACAGTGGGAACTGGGAGCAATTGCCCGGTCTGACCACGCCCCAGCACAGCCCGTCTGCACATCATAAAGGCAACCAGGTACACACCGTCCCAGATAATCCAACTAAATTCTAGAGACTGCTTTGTGAAGTGGTATTTTATTGACATGACTGAAGTTTCAGTAAACTTTCCAATTTTTCCCCCCTCATGAAATAATACCATTTGTCTCTCCACCAGACTATTTTTACTGTGTTCAGGAAAGCAAATTACATTCCTAGGGTCAGTAAGTATTTCACTTGATCTGGTACAGAAATAGGGCTTTTTGGTCTGAAATTCCCTGCTTTGTTTCTGATGCCATTTTATTTTTTAAGAGGTTATGTTTAGCAATCTCCTGTCCCTCCGCATACTAGGTGATTTTAAATCACATGTATTTTTTACTTCCTTCAAGCCACCAATCTATAGAAGTCTTGGTACGAATACATTTAGTCCTGGCTACTTGTCACTCTTTAACTTGCCAATACTCTCCAGGTGCCACTATAACCTTTGGAGGGCCAAAATCAATTTAGCTCCCCTGGCCACTGGATGCTTGACACAGTGAAGGCATGAAGTAACTTAGGGAATCATCAATTAACTTAGGAAATTAGTGAAAATTAAATAGCTCCTCATAATCCAATCCCAAATCTCCCTGAAGGTACAAAAGGACTGAAGGTACTACGAATCTTGTTCTCAGCAGCCAAGCCACAGAGGTTGGGGGGAAAAAGAAGCTGGTCTCATCCTGCAGTAATTGGGAAAGGGGCATCAAGGTTGGCAATCAGACAGAACCAGGCAAATTAACCCCGTTGAGCCCAGTTTGAGCACACCAGCTAACAGAGCCACGCTACCTGGTAGAGAGAGGGCAACGAGGCCCCAGTGTGCACAACATCGCAGCCTCTACCACGTCACGAACTCCCCAGGAAGGTGAGACTGGCTGAAGACTACTCCTGTCCTGCTGATGGGGTATCCAACTGATACCCAAAATAAACATGGAGCAAAGCTACAAAATACTGTGGGTAAATGGCTTTTCATTTCCATTGAAAGTAATTTCTTCTTTCCTCACCTGAATTTTGTCCTCATTAAATACTCCATCAATTAGGAAGTATGTCCAGAATACCGGCCACTCACATTCAATATTCTCAAAGAGCTTGAGCTCAGCAGGATCATAGTGCAGCCTGCTTGGATCCTAGAAATTCAATCATACTCGTTTAGTCACAGTGCTAAATTAGTCACTCATATTCCCATCATAATGGCAGCCTATTTTATACAAGTAATTAAAACCAAGAAACCAATAAAACCACCTGAAATAGTTTCCATGCAGTGTCTAGACTTCTTTTTCACATTCAGTCTCAAACTCATTTAACCGTTCCCTAGACAAATTGACCCTTCCCAGTCTCAGAATCTAGGTGTCACCCTAATCTTGGCTCTGCCTCAGTTCAAAGATATTTTGGGATACCTCAGAGACATTGCTTCCGCTTAGGCACCATAAGCACTAAGGGCTCATTTCTTACAGAATTATGAATTAAGTTCTATCCTTAATAATTGGTTTTCAAACCCTTAGCCTCCTTCAGATATGTGTCATTTCTAGGGTGGATACCTGGATTACCTCCAAATCCACTAAGATGCCTTAACAGCAACACAGAACTTCACCTCTTCATATAAATGAGACAAAAAAGGGCTATAAACAAGAGAGAAAACTCTTCCTAATGTCTACTGAAAATATGTATCAGAAGTACCTCTCTGGGTGTCTTGTAACCATCTCGGAGAAAGCGACAGCAACCATAGCGGCCCTGTAAAAACAGACAAAATTATAGAAAACTTCACATACTGTTGTTCTTCACAGACTAACATCAGCATAAAAGTATATAATGAGTTTTAAGTGTCACTTAGGGATTTTTCTCCCTCTCTTCCATGCACAAATGCACGAAGTCTGGCAACCCTTGTTTAATTAGGATTTTCAGTTACGAAAGGGAGGTTCTTTCCCTCTGGAAAATAAAGGAAATCCTTACCTGCAATTTGGATATGATTTCACTCTTGGTCACATTAACAAGGTTTAGATCCTCCACTGCAAAAGCCGGGTAAGAAATAATAGAGAGAAGGCCAGCATCTATCTCCTTTGATGTGGAAGCCCTCGGCAACATGGAGTATAGAATAGACTGAGCAAAACAGGAACAGAAGAGAGGGATGTAAAACAATTTACCTACTTCAAAAGACTATGTCAAGTGCAAATGGAATAGACTATACTATTTGCAAACTAACAGAGAGCTCACCGCATAATAATTTTTAACTGAGTTAGAACAAGAATGCTTCACATCACTCACTTTCACATGATCTACTAGAAACAGGGTGAACAGCGTACTCTGAAGCCATCCTTATTACGTTAGGTTCTTGGTTCAGTTAATCAACATTTCATTTAAAAACAAAAGGGAGGGGATGTTGGGTTTTCCCCTAGCAAAGGAAACAAGACTAATTTTTACCTGACAATGTTCTACTTCGTCAGGAAGAACATGAATCACTGATTTGTGTCCTCCATGAGCGCCAAAAAGATCTAGTTCATCAATTGCTTCCAAAGCAGCCTTCAAAAAAACCAAACAACAACCCAAAACCATTAAATACCTTTTAAGCTAAGTATACACCCTAGCACTTGTGCTTTTTCATCTTCAAAGGGAAGCTTGGCAATATTTTAGAAAAAGTAAGTATTTCTGTCTTTCCGCTAGTAGGACACAGGACTGATGTCCTGGTGACCCTTCTTACAATTTAAAGGCAATGCAAAACAATGGAGAGCAGGGCTTCCACTGAGATAATATCTAAATATTAAAGTACTTTGTAATAAATGCTTCTCCTCTCCTATATTCCAAAATAACCCCCCATTCAGTGGCCTTTCACTCCTCCTGCCTGAAGGGCTGTTCAAAGAGGAAGGCTTGTTCAAGGCATCCTACAATCAGCAGGGGCCTGTGCCCCGAGAAGAAAGCATC